TTTGCATAGAAAGTAGTTTATTGTCAGCAAGAGACGAGGATAACTGCCAACAATGCAAAGCCATTGGCAGCAAGGCATTATGCTTCGGAAAGGCCTCGGTGACAGATCTATCCCTTTGTCTGTCTGCTGGGCCAGCCTTTGCTTTGCCAGCCCTTAGTTGTGCAAGCTCGTTGCTTACAGCAGCTTCGTTGCTTACAGCAGCTTCGTCTTCATTGCGCTTTGGTATCGTTGGCCAAACCCTCTGCTGTTGTAGGTCAGTTTATACATCGTGGTTCAAATTGTTATCCCATCTGAACATTGTGCCTGAGTGTTTCTAATTCTCCTCTGTTCATTCAGGGTTGTCTTGTCCTCTGACGTGACCTGCTCTGAATGAGCAGTGCTGTGACGCGCTTGTGTTACGGCTTTGCACACATGAAGTCAAGGAGGGCCTTCCATGACTTTGTTAAACCTCAAGACCCTAATTCATCCCCCTTACTTCCTCCCAGCTTCATTTTTTTTCTCTTAAAATTGTTAAGGTTGGAAAAGATGTCTGAGATCATCTAGTCCAACCATCAAGCCATCCCCACCATGCCCTGCTGTATCTCTTAGTGCCACATCCCCACGGCTCTGGGACACCTCCAGGTGACCCCAGCACTCCCTGGGCAGCTGTGTCAGTGCAGAATCACTTCTGGAGAAGGAATTGTTCCTAACGGCCAACCTGGACCTCTCCTGGCACAATGTGAGGCTATTCCTTCTCGTCCTGTGGCCGTTCCCTGGGAGCAGAGGCCGACCCCACCTCACACAGCCTCCTTTCGGGTCGTTGCAGAGAGCCACGAGGTCTCCCCTGAGCCTCCTCTTCTCCAGACCGAACAGCCCCGCTTCCCTCAGCCGCTGCCCATCACACTTGTGCTCCAGACCCCTCACAGCTCCGCTGCCCTTCTCTGCACACGCTGCAGCCCTCGGTGCCTTTCCTGCAGTGAAGGCCCAGCACTGAGCGCAGCACTGAGGTGCGGCCTCCCCAGTGCCAGTGCGGAGGGACGGTCACCTCCCTGTATTTTCTTTTCCCTCTGTTTATAGGGTAGCGTATATTTTTAAAGACTCAGATGAAAAGCCCGCCGTGCCATGGCCAGGCTCATGAAATGCCCTCATCTGAGTGACAGGGTTGGGGTCTTTTAATCATCGCCACTGAGGTCCAGCTGCATTTCTGACTTGCTGAGGTTCTTGCAGCTTGATGCTGAAAACAGATACTGTGAGATCAGTGTGTGACTGAGGAACACCAGAGTGCTGTGTAACATTATGAAATAGTACTCTTCCTGCTGAAAAGTGCAGGTTAGGATGTGCTTAGCTGTGTTCCTGCAGTGCAGAAAGTTGTAAACTGCAGCCAGAGCCATCTGGAATAGCATAAGGAACTCATGAGCTCCCACGTGAAGTTTTGGGTCACATGCAGAGCATTTTCAGAACTTTTGGGCAACTTGACCAGTTCTTCTTTCCACTCTGTTTCATTGTTATAAGTAGGGCAGATCAGTGATGTCGCTGGAGTGCGTGTTGTCACAGGGTTGCCACCCTGGCTTGGCAGCTACAGGGGTTCGCAGCAAACAAACACAAAAGCATTTGCTGTCTTATTTAAAGAGACAAGACTGTTGGCTTTCTGTTTCTAACTTTTGCTGTTTGTCCTTGAAAAGAAGAATTTTGCTCACTCTGTGCTGTTTTGACAGTCCTTCTGCAGAATATCAGATTTTTCTTTGTATTTTGCTGACTGGGATTTAGCATATATTGAAATTAATGGATCAGGCTTGTGTTTGGTGGAGCTGGGGCTCAGTTCCCACCACCTTTGTTGGATGATCTGAAGCTTGAAGTCAACGTAAGTTCTGCTTTAGGACAGATAAATAAAAGGTTATGATATACTTTGAAGAAAGCATTTCACCCACGCCTTTTATTTCTTCTTACTCCATTGAACCAAATGGGGTATAGAGGAGAGGTGATTAAGGCAGGGTTCTGAGGTTCAGTAGGGTGCAAGTAGTGCTGTGAGAGTACAGCTGCCAGAAAGCTGTTTAGGGCTGGGAGGAAGCAGAAGAGGTTTCTGCAGGAACTTCTGGGTTGCTGCAGCCCTTGTGGGTTCTCCCTCCTGCCTTCCCTCCCCTCAGCAACACACAGCAGCACTCCGATCGCTTGGAGAAGAACCTCTCTGCTTGGAAAAACAGCAAGTATGTGGAACTGAAACTGCTTAGCTTGATTACCCGTGTATGTTTATTATTAAGGAAGATGCCTGATGTTGCGTTATTGTGTGTGCTGGTTGTGAGAAACTCAGGCCACTTCTATCAGTGAGGTTGGTTAACTTGTAGCTCTCACCCACGCTCACAAATTAAACAAACAGTATTGTCTAAAGTTTATAAAGCAAGTGGAGAACAGTACAAAGTACCTAAAGCTTAAAATGGCGATGGTTAGTTTATCAAGGTGCAGACTTTCTTATTTTATTCATTTATTTAGTTTTGCTTAGGAAACGAGTTTCCTGTGCTGCCTGTGCAACTGTCATTTTCCCCCTTCTTCTTTTTTTTTTTTTTTTCCTCACTTGAATTTAAAACTATTGGATGCACAGAGCATGTGCTTTTGGCTAAGCAGGCAGACATGACGTCTAAGACTGAGCCGCATTATGCCAAGAATGCCATGGAAAACAGCCAGCTGTTTTTGTTGACATTGCTAAAACAGTTTCACTTTGCAGCACCAACACAAAGCCAAAGAGGGGAGTAGGGGAGTAAAGCGAGGAACAGATAAGAAGTAATGAGATGAAGTAATTGTATGTTACATTGTGTACTGATATCCAAAATCACTGTGTGCTTTGTAAGCCTGGCAGCAAAACACGGGGTTCAGTGTTTGGCTAGAACCAATTGATCAGTTTGGGTCACGAAGCTGCTTCAGAATGCATGTGGTTTGATATGCTTGCTATGGGAGGCTTCAAGTTTACTGCACAGAAACACTTTTTGGTACCCAGAGAGTCAACTTTTAAGTCAGTTGCTTGCCCAGCTATGATTGCCTGCACTTTCTTCTCAAGATCCACTGTTCTGTTCTTTGTGGCAAGGTGCTGGTGCCAGCTTCTTTAGTCTTTTGCTGCAGTCTGAGACTGTTTCACTCCAAGCTCCCCATTTTTTTACTTACTGCTACTTCCTTGCCTTCTGAGTGGAGATACTTGTTTCGGTGCCTGATGGCCTAGGAAGAGACTTTGGGGTTTGTTTCTTAGTGTTCTCAACAGCAGTTGCATGAAGTGCTGAAAAAAAACATGTTAGATGGCTGTGAAGGACCAACAACAGCATGCAGTGGTTTGCAATCAGCTCTGGGTCTTCTTAGCAAAGAAACTGGCAAGTAAAAGCAAAATGGCTGAAGTTTGGAACCTGTTAAGTCAGTAAATGAATGCACACCTCGTGTTTGAAGGACTACACGTGCTGAGGCATGATAGAGAGTAAGCTCAGACTCTCTGGTTTAAAATGGGTAGCACCAGCTGGGCTAAGGTTTATCCTTTATCCGTTGAATAGAAAGTTTCTGTTGTCAGTAGGTGTTTCTTGATGATTTGAAGTAGATAAGACTGCTGAAGTATCTCGGAGGGATGCTCTGGCCCCATTCCCTGTGATCTGTATGGTTCAGAGAGCCGTGCTGGATGGGAGTAACGGTACATTTGGGCTTAATAACCACTTTGAGAGTGGACATGGTTGTATCCTTATAAAGATTTTTATCAGTTGCTTTCTGCTCTGAGAGAAGCTGCTTACTTCATGTTTCTGAACAAACGCTTCATAATGCATTGAAAAGCTGTGTCTGGTCTGTTGGGAACATGTTCAGGAGCCCTCTCTCTGGGATCATCAGATGCTGACAGGACAAGAAGTGATGGCTTTAAGTTACGCCAGAGGAGGTTCAGGTTGGCTGTTAGGAACAATTCCTTCTCCAGAAGTGATTCTGCACTGACACAGCTGCCCAGGGAGTGCTGGGGTCACCTGGAGGTGTCCCAGAGCCGTGGGGATGTGGCACTGCGGGACGTGGGCAGTGGGCATGGTGGGGTGGGCTGATCACTGGACTTGGTGACCTTAGTGGTCTTTCCCAACTTCAGTGACTATGGTTGCATTGGAGATGAGATACTGAAATGGATCCATGTTGACCAGGTGGGTGGAAATAGCTGTTCCAACATTTATTACAAAACAGAATTTGAAAACAGTGATTGCTCTTACGCCTCAGTACCCTGTCCTCTCTGACACAGTCCCCCTGCTTCTGTTTTCTGCACTATGTGGGTTCTGAACTCCATCTGAAGTCACAAGGAACTGCTTGCTCTTAGGGGAGAGAGCTTTCCTAACACCTTCAGAGCACATTATTGATTCACAAAGAAGCCTGCTTGACTTCTGTGTCAAACACTGCATCTCTTAGGCCTCATTCAGCAGCAAGCTTGATGGCAATTGTAAGCAGAAGTGGCTTAAATGTCTTTTCAGAATGTGCAAAACTTGACAGTTTGTCCGATATGGAGCTAACGGACTGAGGTGCAGGGGTTAGTGCTTTTTTGTTTCTCCAGGCAGCAGTGGAGGATGCTCTGATTTAAATCCATTATCGCTCTGTACTTCTTGTGAGATCTTAGACCCACTTCTATTAAGAACTTTTTCAATAAGTGGAGTTGTGGAGGAGTGAACCAGACTCCTCCAGTTTTTGGGACTAACTGGAATGTGGAGCGAACAGGATGTACCTTTCCAGTGTGGTTTAAGAAACACTGCTGTTTTTAATACAAAGAGCAGTGGGTTTAAAATCATAGAATCACAGAATATCCTGAGTTGGAAGGGACCCACAATGGTCACAGAGTCCAACTCTGGGTCCTTTTTGTACTGCGATGCCCAAAACTGCACGCAGTACTTAAGGTGAGGCCACACCAATGTTGTTTAGTGTGGGAAAATCGCTTCCTTTCCACGGCATACAGATGCTTTAAGCATTCAGGAACAGGATCACAAGTTGCTTTTCTGGTACAGTCTCATGTATCTACTGTTCTTTTGTTTTAGGTTACGATGCTTTGAGCTATTCTGTGGAAAATGATGGCAAGTGGAGCGGGAGACAGCTACTGCAAGCAAATGAGGACAACACGACGGAAGTCCCAGGGGACGGGGGGAAGCTGTATGTCAGAAATTGCACTGAACCAGGTAGGAATGATAGTTGCTTCCAGCCCCACAGTCTCACAGTTGACTTTCTTACTTCCAGAGCATTGGTTTCACCTATATTGCTGAAAGGTTTTAGTTATTTTTAGGTCTGTAAACATCTTTGCTGTTTTCTTTGTGAATGTGGACCATATGGATATTGCAAACTCTCTGTGGGTTAAGGAGAAGGTGTGCTGTCAGCTAGTGTGTAAGTGTCACATCTGCTGATAGCCAAGGCGTGAGGCTTGTGCAAAAAGCTGTGACATCCAAGGAGTCTTAAGTGTTTATTGCATGAACACCACACGCCATTGTTGTGATCAAATATGCATTGTGAATATGTGTGTTAGTACAAGTATTATTTGTAGCATTAGTTGATAATCTTATATTTAGTATTAGTGGCTCCAGCAAGTTATTGGCTAGACAAATTTTAGTTTGAAGTTTCATAGCTGAACTTCTGAGCTGATTTTCTGATGTGAAATGCATAATACAGCTTTTTCCTCAGGGAAGAACCTTAGCAAGGTACTTCTTATCTCTGTGACTCCCGTTTTTATGAAATCATAGGAGCTTAATGTCCTTGAAGCTCTATTGCTCCATTACGTTTGGTTGAAGCTGGTTTGCAGATACAGGTGCTTTTGGAGAAGGTGAGCACAAGCGTGTATCAAATGTGTTTTTTTGCTTTATGTGTCCCACGGCCTCAGGAGTCCAACTACAGCTAGAATGCTAACTGATTGAGTAGAAAGATTATTTAGCTTTGAGAGATGAGCTGATGTGCTCTTTCAAATTACATTTCCTGAGCTACTTGGAGACCTGATAGCAGCCTTTCAGTATCTAAAGGGAGGCTGTAAGAAGGAAGGGGACAGACTCTTTAGCAAGATGATAAGACAAGGGGAAATGGTTTCAAAGTAAATGGGGGAGATTTAGAGTAGATATGAGGAAGAAGGCTTTTTTACACAATGGGCAGTGGGGCACAGGTTGCCCAGAGAGGTGGTGGATACCTCATCCTTGGAGATATTTAAGGTCAGGCTGGACAGGGCTCTGAGCACTGATGGAGCTGTAGGTATTCCTGTTCAGTGCACAGCAGTTGGACTGGATGGCCTTTAAGGGTCCCTTCCAACTCCAACAATTCTATAATTCTGTGATTCTATATGCAAAAAAATTTCCATGGATATTAGAAAAAAGAAGGGGGTATCTTTTCAGTTCACATCCAGTTGATTGCATCTTTTTTATTTCTACCCAAACAGAAGTCATTGAAATGTAACACTAATAAAAAAAGGGAAAGCTCCATAAGCTGTTCAGTCCTTTGTTTTTTCCTTTTCACATAGGAGCTTGGGTATCATTTCCTCAAAGTTCAAGGGAGGGATCGGAAGGGTGTTTCTTCATTCTTCAGAGCTTATGTAGGTTATGTACCACAGGAGTGAACTGTTTACTGTTCAGGAGAGAGAGCAGAAATACTGATGTGAATTACTGTTTTTTCTCTGACTTGTCGTGGAAGTACTACAGAATACATCCTGTGATGGCAAACAAATTAGGATTACTGTAGGTAAGAAGGCAGAATGAACAAGTTTGTGTTGCTTCTGTTGTTTCATGGATTTTTTTTAATTATTATTTTTGAATTTTTAAATTTTTTTTTAGCATTAGGATATAAGTGTAAATCGTGAAAGCTATGCTGGACAGCAGTCAGAAGTGTTTGACTTGTATTGCATTGAATGGGAATGGAGCTCTTTTGAAGAATGGAATGTATGTGTTGACTCCAGTGGGATTTCAGGCCACCTGCAGAATATTTCAGTTCTACTTTTTCAGCAAATGAAAGAAGTAAAAGAAGAGTTGATGGAAGAGATACGGTTAATAGCTTAGAAATGTGTTTGTGTTTGGAACGTTGGTTGTGTTCTGTAAGACATAAATAAGCAAAGTGTTCCTAGTGGTACTTTGAGAAGACTTGCAAATAATTTCATTTTCCATGTGACTCAGATGCCAGGTTTCTAAACCCTGCACAAAATGGGCCACTGGTTATAAGCCCATACAGCTTCAGCTTCTGCCTGTCTTTCTGCAAAAAAGTGATACATCTGTTCAGGAAATTGAAATGGAACCTGATGGTGGAAGTGGGCTGCTGAAGTTTGCTTAGGCAAAGACAACTTTAACTTCATCCAAGCAGAGTTAATGTATACCAGTATCTCAGGTTTACATCTAAAGCATCAGAAAGAAAACAGAGATCCTGTCTGCACTGTAAGCTGTCAAATCATAAGGAAATTATATAAAATCAAGCATTTTACCTTCTGTCTATTTTGGGTTAGAACTTGTAATAAAATGAAGTAAAACATTTCTGACAAAAATCCTGTTCTGAAACTAACTGCATCTCTAGCTAGAATTCTTGTTTTATAGTTTTATTTTACTTATTATTTATTATGTATTTGGTTAAAGGGTAGTGAGGAGAGAATAAAGGTTTTTTTTTATTTTGTGAGTGCTCATTAGCTGTCATCTGTTGTCATCCCCAAAGAGCTGTGTTGTTAGAGCTGATATGAAAGATATAAGAAATTGCACTTTTGCCATCAGAAGGTGCTGATTCAAGAGAATCAAAATGTCTTGTTTAAATGCAGTTGGCTGATTTGATTTGTTGGATTCCAAACAGTGTTGCTCATCCTGAGCAGCACCTTCCATGTACATAGGAGCTCTGCTGGGGAGCTGGATCTGCCTGCTTGTCCTGTTGCTTTTGAGGAGGGACTCCTATACCTGGAGGTGCAGGACAGCCTCATAGTTCCAAAGCTAGTTCCAAAGCCTTTCCTTTCCCTCCAGAATTCTTCCACATAGACAGAAAGGCTTTTTTGTTTGTTTGTTTTCCTAGCTTCTGTTTTACAATGAGAAGACCTGAGCTGTTTCCAACAAAAGTTTTCGTGTTTAAAAATGTAGCTAGAGAAAGAGTGGTTCAAATCAGTGCATAATTTTGACACTGATAGTCGTTCAATGAAGCTGATTGAAGGCTGGAATGAACATTCTTTGAGGGCAGTAAGGACCTTCTTTCACTGGCTTATGTTAGTACTGAAGCCTGGAGTCTAGCACTGAAGTGAAAATAGAGATCTGAATTAAGTGTAGTACTCAAGAAGTGCAAAAAGTCAGCAAACTTCTTTGCCTTTTCTTGGGATGGTAAACTTCTTTGTCTTTGACTGTTCCTACAATGGCTTTCAAAGTGTTGCTTGAGGAAATTGAGACAATTTAGCTGAAATTGTGGTATTGTGGAGCAAAATAAAAAATGTGGTGTATAGCCTGCAGTGTCTGTTGCCATTTATGAATTAACATAGTTTAATCCTTCTTAGCATCTCCATGGAACATTCTTTTCTGTGCATTTGGCCTTCAGCTGCTGCATCTTCCCTAAATCAGCAGCACAGAGTCTAGTTGGAGGCCTGTAGATAGTGGTGTTCCCCAGGGTTCAGAGCTGGGTCTAATCTCAATTAACTCAACATCTTCATCAGTGACCTGGATGAAGGGATAGAGGTGCATCCTCAGCAAGTTTGCTAATACAAATCTAAGCAGAGTGGCTGACACACCAAAGGCTGTGCTGCCATTCAACAACACCTGGACAGACTGGAGAGCTGGGCTGAGAGGAGCCTGATCAGGTTCAGCAAGGGCAAGGGTAAGGTCCTACACGTGGGGAGGAATAACTGCATGCACCAGTACAGGCTAGGGGCTGACCTGCTGGAAGGGAGCTCTGCAGAGAAGGATATAGGGGTCCTGGTGGACCATGGTTGGCCATGAGCCAGCAATGTGCCCTGGTGGCCAAGAAGGCCACTCGTATCCTGGGGTACGTTACAAAGAACGCAGCTAGCAAGGAAAGGGAGGTGATCCTTCCCCTCTCCTCTGCCCTGGTGAGGCCACATCTGGAGCACTGTGCCCAGTTCTGGGCTCACCAGTTCAAGAAAGACAGGGAACTTCTGGAGGAAGTCCAGCAGAGAGATACAAAGATGTGAGGGGTCTGGAGCTTCTGCTGTGTGAGGACAGGCTGAGAGACCTGGGGCTGTTCAGCCTGGAGAAGATAAGGCTGAGAGGGGATCTCGTAACTTTATAAATATCTGAAGTGTGAGAGTGAAATGCATGGGGCCAAGCTCTTGTTAATGGTATGCAGCCACAGGACTTGAGGCAATGGGCAGAAACTGGGACTGGAACACAGGAAGTTCCAGGAAGAACTTCTTTACTTTGGGGGTGAAGGAGTACTGGAAGAGGCTTCCCAGAGAGGTGGTGGAGACTTCTCCTTCTCTGGGGTCATCTATAATTAAAAACGAAGTGGTGTGATGATTATATATAAGTTAAAAATGCACTGTTTCTTCTGTCTGGAGATTTTGTTACTCTATAGAACAGTAAATTAAAAAGTTGAAGATATATACCAGAGTTTAATGAGGTTCTAATATATGGCTGATGTGCTGATAGTAGTGCAAAATTTCCAGACTAATTTTGTAAGGTAAGTGATATATTGCCAAGTAATGGTATCGTCGTAAGAAAATTCCCTATTGAAAGAGTCAGGTGATTGCTATATTTTGTAGCTTAATTGTGATCTCTGCAAATTGTGAAACTGAGCAAGGAGTTGGACCAGACGACCCCCAGAGGTCCCTTCCATCCTCAGTCATTCTGTGACTCTTTGGTTCTGTGATTCTGTGAGATATTCAAGACCCACCTGGACACTTTCCTGCTCTACCTGCTGTAGGGAACGTGCTTTAGCAGGGAGTTTGACTACATCATCTCCAGAAGTCCCTTCCAATCCATGTGATTTGAAGGAAGACGCTTTCTAAAATGTTTTTTTTCCTATATAGTCCCAAAATTTAGATCTATGAACACATACAGCTAGGCAAAAGAGAGAGTTTTAAAAAGGCAGTTTCATCTTACCTGTTGGAGAGTGGGGAATGGAAGATAAAATGCCTTACTTTGAAGTGCATTGTGCTTTTTATTTTGCATCACTTAGCTATTGTTGTTCTGTGATAGTAAACACATTTTTGCTTGCTAAAAGAAAGATTTTTTTTGTT